ATTTCTGCTGAGATAATAAAGATAGGTAACAATTAATGCAAGATTTTAAATGACTGTCAGCCTACGTGGGACTTGATAGAGACCTTCACAAAGAACCTCTTGATTGATTGTCAGAGAGAATTTTCATTTGCTGTCAAATTGGGCCGTATGCTAACCTGCAATCAAGAGATGAATGGTTCTGTAGTGGCACATGAAAACTGTTAAATGGTCTTGTCTTAACTTGAATAGTCTGTGCTGAACAGAATATAAAAAAGACAATTATGAAGAAGTTTGTGGATGATACTATGTGCAGTGAGTTTCAGACTGTGCCTTTTATACATATTCCATGCCAACGTTATGAATGAATACCGAGCTGCTTCGTAGGGGATGCACACTGACTTGTCTCTTGGAAGGAACGCAACGTGCTGAAATGAAAATGAGCAACTACTGGCTCTGAGCAGGTCCTAGAGTTTCGTGGAGCGGGAAGTACCGCAGTGAAACTTTTTTCATGACAGTATGTTTCAGTCTCCTCTGTGCATACTGTCCCTGCTGACTCCAGGCAACTAGGGATGCAATTGCTCTTTCAGGCTTAAATGGGCCCTACTAGGGCTCGTAAAGGGGCTGTGTACTGTGTAGTCTGCGAAGGTGGTTTCTTCTGATCTCGACTTCTGTGAAACGCAACGTCTTAAATTTGAACAAACACGATAATTGCTCCTGTCATTCCATTTAGGACAGTGAGTATATTTGTTTGCTGGCAAGAATCCCTTGCAACTACTTCTTTATTTTCTCATGCTATTCTTTTCGTTGTCAGCACTAGTAGTTAACGTAATTCAACTCCCACTCTGGGCAGGCGTCCTCCTGTGTTCACTAAGAAAGTATGCTGGCTGCAAAGATAGGCTGTTAATTTTCACAGTTCATGTGGGCTATAGGACAGAGGATGAGATCAGTATGTTCTCATGGTTCTCTCATCATGCCAGCATTTAACGATCCAGTGAACTTTTTCCTTTGTGCTGAATATCACCAAAATAACATGTTTATTTTTCTTCCTTGTTATGGTGATGATAGTAGACAGAGGGCAACTGGCTTGCCTTCTCCACCTGTTCTTTGTGTGCGAATGGCCAGGACATACCGATAATGTCCCCTTGCGCTCTGGGGCTGCAGTTCTGTGCTAACCTCTTAGATCAGATCTCTGGAATGGAAAGGGTAAGAAAATGTGTCTTTTCTTTTTTAAACCAAAAGGTCTTCAAATACCACCCATTCTGGAATAAGTAAGAATAGAAAATGAGCGTCCAGTTTTCCATGGATCCCAAAGTTTTGATTTGTTAGTGTTCAAGGATACATCACTGCTTTTTTTTTTTTTTTTCCTCAAGGTATAGTTAACAGAATAGATCAACTGCAAAAACAGATTTGAATTTATGTAACTGTTAAGGGGATGGACATTTCCTTGTTAGTCAGTGACACCAATCTGATTCTGCTCCCAAATACAGTCAAACAGATTTTATTCTCTCCCCTCCTACCCTCCACCTCCAAGAAATTTACAGATAGGTATGGGTAAATTTTCCTAGCAAGGTAATGCCAGAAATTTATTCTATTTTTTTATAAGTTTGTTTGTTTGTTTTCTCCCCCAGTGATCACGGTTGAGCCCAAACAACTTGCTTTTTAACTACTGGATGTTCAGTTTTGGTTTTGGCAGAGTTCTACAGATCCATTTTTCTTTAGCAGGACTAATTTTTTTTTTTTTAATTTGCATTTTGGTGCAAATGTGTAATAGATGACCTATCTGATACCAGTAACTAATGCACATTAATATTGTGGCTTAATTTATTAAATTTTTTTAACTGTAAATCGCTCTCATTTTCTTTTGCTTTTTAAAATTGAAGTAAAGGCTGATGTAATGCTTCAGCTATCCTTTGGTTTTGTAAAATATTTGTCGATTCAAATATTATTTATTTACTCATAACAATGAGTCACCAGTAGCCAAATAGAAAATTTACTCTGCTTGCAGGAGGTTAATAGTAAGTGTTGAAAGCTTGCGAAGGGACTGGGTTTTAACAGTTGCATATTGTTGTAGTTGTACTTTTGGGGCCAGAAGACTGTAGCAGAATGGTTATCTGCAGCTAACAGAAAAGAAAAAAGTTGTACTATAAACTGGTAGTGACGTGCTGTGTGGTATTCTTTTTGCGCGTGTAACACAGGAAGGGAATTGGATTCAACTGTCTGTTATTCCCTTACGGTTCCATTCTTTTCGTTACTATTGTGGGAATAAATCCCAAGTTATTGAAAGAAGAGTGTTTAAATTGTATGTATTTACACTATGTTAGCTCTGCTTGAAAAATAAACAGGTCAGAACCACTGCTGTAATGAAAAAGTTCGAAAGGTAAATTTTAGAGGCGAAGAAGAACTTGGAGGTCAGCTGTCTGCTCCTTTGACCTGGGCAGCTGTGTTTGCCGTGGCTTGGAGTCCAGCACGAAGGTGGGTCCTGTTCTGAGCAGCTGTGCACAGCTGGGCAGTGGTGACAGTGTTTCCCAGGGCCACCATCCTCCTCCTCTTCTCTGAGCAGGTGGTGGTGGTAAAAGAAATACTGGTCAGTTCTCCTGTGTCTTATCATGGAGCTGTGTTTTTTGTTATTTTTTAAAAATACATGTACAAAACTTGAAGCAATTTAAATGAGAATATTGCTCAGATGTTAGCAAATGCACTGAACAGCCACCCTGAGCAGCAGCATCTCTACGTGCTGCCAGGGGACTGCAGGAATCGTCCCCGACCGCAGCCTCCGCTACAGCTGGGGTGGGAATGGGCTGAGCCGGCTGCGGAGCAGGCACCCCGGCTGCCAGCTGCAACGGTGAGGCTGTGAGAGTGGGAAATCCCAGAAATGGGAAAAGCCCCTGCCAGATCAGCCTCATCCAATGAAGCATCTGGTTTCATTCCTCCTTTTTTCAGGGTGGGAAGTGCTGTGGAGACAGAGCAAAGCCCCTGCGAGCGGCAGTGCCCCTTCTCCTCGTCTGTGTGATGCTGCGGTGCAGCCGAGGCAGGGGCTGGCTCAGCAGCACTGTGTGCTGGCTGTGAAACAAGCTGTTAGTGGTGAAAGAATGGGTTTTTTTCCCCCACTTTATACTTATTACACATCTTGAGATGAATATTCTTGTACATAACCATGAGCACATGTCGTCATGGTGAGGCAGTGGCAGAGGTTGCCCAGAGAAGCGGTGGCTGCCCCCTCCCTGGGAGGGTCCAAGGCCAGGCTGGGCGGGGAGCGACCTGGTCTGGTGGGAGGTGTCCCTGCCCAGGGCAGGGGGTGGAACTGGGTGGGCTTTGAGGTCCCTTCCGACCAAACCATTCTATGGTGATCTGTTGCCGATCACTTTTCCCCCAGCACATGTGCTCTACTTGTGCAATGTCATATTCTCATTTAAATCAGCATAATTAAGGCACAGATGTGACAAATGTTAATTTGCATTTTTAATAGGAGGGAGGGTTCACAGTGTATTTGTGAGTCCTGATAACAGTAAGCTTTTCTTTCCCAATCCCAGATTTAGGATCTTTTTTGGTGTCAGGTTTGAACTAAAATGCTGCAAGTTGTCACCCGCGCTGTAATTTAAAAATCCATTACGTGCCACTGTGATGAGGCACCCTGGAAGACCAAGGAGGAGGAAGCATGGAAAAACTTTTCAGTCTCTTCGAGGCAAATACTTACAGAGGGTGTTGTGACAGTGTCACCTTCGATCCTCTTCTGTAAGATGGTTGCTCGCGTGCGTCCCGAGGGGCGTTAGGAGAGGGAGGGGAACCCGAGGATTGCGGGGGCTCTGGCAGCAGCCCGGCACCCAGCCAGGGTTTGCCAGGTAGAGCCACCAAATCGCATCCTTCCTACCCTGTCTTGTGGTCAACGGTGTTGTGGGCCCAGAATCTGTTGAGTGGGGTTTTTTTGCTCAAAGGAAAGGGGGAAGTACAGAAAATAAATGCGTGTTTTCTCTGGCATGTTGTGGGTCAAGCTGGGAACATGGAAACCTAGCTCCAGTCCCGGATTTCCTGCCCTCTCCTTATGCCTGCCTTAAGAAGAATGAGGGAAAGCAATCTGACTAACTTGACATTTCTGATCATTTTGATGCTAATGTCATTGCCTGAGTACATAGAATAAACATCTGGTGGAAACATTTTTTGTGAAAAGTTTCTCTTTAGCTCTTAAAAATGCCATTGTCAAACAACAGAGGCCTAAATTCTAATTGGTGTAAAAATAATAGGCAGGAATGTATTTTACAGGTGTATTTTTTTATTATTATTTGCTGAGCACCATTAATTAATTCAGCAATGCAGAAGTACAGCTCCATGATCATGAGCGTGAAACGGAGGGCAAAGGGAAACAAGAGTGACTAACTGGGATTCATATTTTGCAAACGTATGAAATTAAGAAATAAACAATCTGAACGGAAAAAAAAATACGGTAACGGTAATGAAATACTTAGTGTTTGCTGTTGGTTAACGTTAGAGAATTTCCCTTTCAGCTTAGATGGGCTCTTCCTTACTCTTCCCTGCACATCCTTGCAGTTGTGCGTAGAACCTAGGCAGCTCGCTGTGGTACCGTGCCTCACCCTGCTGGGACAAGGTACCTGCCTTTTAGGTGTTGTAGCCCCTCAGCTGGGTACCCAAGTTGAACTTTAAACTGGGATGTTCGTAATGACCTATGTTTTTTGGAGGATGAATGAGTTCTGTGTTGCATCTGTGAATGAACACTGGATTCTTAAGATACTTAGGTAGCATTGCATATGAGCTGATATTAGACATACACATTTCCACATTGTTTTAGAAATGTATTATGAGCATTACTTTGAAAGAGTTGCTCAAGTGGAGCGGTGGCCAGAAGTTTAAATTCTTTCCATTTGGAGATCTGATACCTCAGTCTGAAATACGTGATTATCGTCTTTGAAGAGACTTTCAGCACATTTTTAATTTAAAGCTGAAACAAAAGTTAGAGGTTGGTTAGTAGTGCAAATAATATTTTCTGGCTATTTTATTTACATCTATAGAATAAAAAACCTAACAGTGGAACTTAAAAGCAAGCAAGACGAATTAAAAAATGTGAAAGAAGATTTGCGGTATTTCCAAGAGGAAAAGGAGGCTACCTATAAGCAGTCACAAGTGCTCAGGTAAGACCGCAAAAAGAAATGCCCATGTTGTGCCTGCTGTGAACGTGTACAATCAGTCGAGAGCGTTCAGGGGAGATGCAGGCAGAGGCAGGCAGCATACTGTGAGTGAGAAGAGTGTTTATAACCATCCTAGTGCTTCTGGCTTTTCCAGAATATAGCAAGATGCTGTAGTGTTAGCAAATATAACTGGAAAATACCACTTCTGATTGCTGGTGTTATTAGCAACAGGGTAAGTTCTTTACAAATTTATAAGCATTAATTAACACTTAAAAGCAAGCGTGTAGCACTTGCTTGTAATGCATTGGAAATACCGTATTTCTTGCATATATTGTTTATAAAGAGTCAACATAAGCTTGGACATATAGTCATTTAAACACAATTACTCTGATTTCTCAATAAAAAGTGATTGTACAATTGTACAGTTTTTTTCATTCAAACATACAAGTTCTAAATCAATGTTTAGAAGGGAGAAACTTATTACAAATATATTCAATATACAGCATATTTCATACACTAAATTATTGTAACCCAATATAGTATAAATTATCATCTGAAGTAAAGTAGTTGTCAAGTTTACTTTAGTTCCCGAACTTACTAGTAGTATTTTGTCATTTTAAAAATGTATGTGTGCTATTACTGTTCTGTCTTGCAGAAATACATTGGAACACCATTGCTCAACTCTGAACAAGGCTGTCTCGCTGTTTCCTTTTATTAGAAGTGAACTAGACAGCATTAAAGAAGCCATTTCCAGTAACCTGGAGAACTGGGCTGCCATGAAAGAAGAAATTTTTCTACAAATAAAAACTGTTAGCAAAGAAGCTTTGACAGGTAAATCATCTTGCAATGATTTTGGGCAAGATAAAATATTTTTTGGTAGTGGAGTGTAACACAGTAAATTAGAAGGTAAAACTAATTACATAATTTCTAATTCTGACATTAACTTGTCCAAGTCCAAAGTGTTAGAAGACCCTATCTACTGCTGTGGCACCATGCGAACTGAGTTGAACTCAGTCCAGTTCCTATCGGATCAGTGTGCCGGACCGGTTGTTTGGTCAGCCAAGTCAGACTGAAATACAAGTAATATAAATGCTTACCATGATTTGAAACATAAGTAATATACTTACTATAAGTATATGGATAAGATTACAACACAAAGACTTGGAGATATTTTGATTTGCCTTGTGTCTCCTATTGCCAGTTTTTCACACACGCTCACACGCACACACGATGCTATACGGCAGTGGTATGGTATCCTTTTGTGGAGCTGCCCGAGGGTCCTTCAGCGCTGTCTGCCCATCGCGGGGGCAGGCTGCACCTCTCCCCTTGACCAACCTACTGACGTACACGTTGGGTTGCCTTGAATACAGGCTGCTGCATACCAGCAAACCTGCACCCAACGTGTAGCAACTACTCCCTCCTTCCGTTTCTGAATAAGAACAAGTAATACCCAAATACAGCTGTCTCTATCTGTGAGGGGTCTTTGGGATTGAAAGGGGCATGGAGCAGCCCATGGGCTGAGAATAATTCCCTTGGCCCACAGCCTGCTTCCTGCTCAAACAAGGGCGGCCTTCAGGAAAAGAGGAGCTGGGAGCAAGTCACAACCGATGGCTTGTTCGTGAAGGTCGTGCCCAGCCCTCAGGCTGGCGGACAGACTTGAAAACTCAGATTTATCCTTGAATACCATTTTTGCTGTGCTTCAGCTGAGATTAGTTTTGCTGAAAAAAGTGTGCAGTAGTGTAATTACAGACTGTAACATCCAGAGCATCCAAACAGGCCCTGTGCTGACTCTTGCAACTTTAACGGCCTTTGGACATCATTTTCATATACGTATTCCTTTCCTTACAGTTTTTCAGTGTGCCCTGTGTGTATCGGTTGATGAGCTGCTCTTTGCCCTGGAGGTTTGTTTTATCAGGGTTATAAGGTAGCAAAGAAGTAGGTGAGCCGATGTCATGCTTTCTGTCCTTGTGAGAAGGAATATAAGGGCATGGTGGGTGATGTGCATCTCCCAAATCACTGCTGGTGAAACCATGTGAGCTCCATTGCAAGATCACAGCTTAAGTGAAACCTGCGTGCGCAGACTATCTCAGAAAACACGTAGCTTCATTTTAAATAATAGCTCCCCAGTAACCTATGCTTCCTGTGAAATTAGAAGTAATTTTTAATGTTTTCAATGATTGCTTTGTTCAGACTGGGAAGCAATAAGTGGGGCAGCTGTGCCGCAGGAGGGAGTAGGCACGCATCCCAACAGAGAGTTGGGGGCATCCCGAGCCCGGGCAGCAGAGAGCCCAGAAGGGAGGGCTCTTGCCTGTGGAAGATGAGCGTGACCAGAAAAATCACTCTTTAGTATTCAGTTTTTGTAAGAACAATTAATTTAAATGTCAGTGTCAATATAATGCATTTTGATTCATGACTTCATCTCCTAATTAGACTGAGCACAGAAAGTATTGTATGTCCCTAAGGATTCCACCCTTCCTGTGCTCATTCTCTGCCTACTTCTAGCTAATAAAGGGGATACAAACACGCGTTTCTGCAGACAGCTTCAGGTTCACAGAGATTCATAACATTTTAAGGCTTCTTTTCTGGACTATTGCCTGGTTTATTTGTTGTAATACTGCAAATACATAGAATATCTGTACGGAAGCAGAAGCACAGCCTTTCAGGTTCTTTTAATGATTATATGTATATGCTGTGTATCCCCAGCTGCGTTCAACATATCCCATTGAGAATAGTGCCACACTGTGAATATGGTATACTTCCTTAAATCTAGCTTTCTAAATCAACACAATTTAGTCACACTTTTTTTTTTTTTTTGGCCTGTGAGTCCCATTTAAAGGATTTTATGTTATGTTTTATGAGTTGTTCATTATTAACATATATTAACATATTAACATGCAGTAATTTTTTGGTTTTACTTTACCTTACTGTTTTTGCAAGAAGTTTTTCAGAACTTGTTTTCCATTCAGATTTTGAGAAGAAAAATGTTACATGAGATGCTACTCCTTACGCCTAGACCGGTTTGCTTGGTTAGTTTGAAAACAGCTTATAAAAGCCCGTGTATATGTAATTCATTTAGCCTTGGTTAATTAATGGCAAGTAGAAAGAAGTACAAGAATGTAAAATCTTTCAGTATTTACATCATTTAGACTAACAGTGAATTGATTTAAGCATGGAGTAGTTGGGAAAGATTGTAGATAATGAAAATATTTGCACCACAGAAAGAATTTAAAGTTTGCATGTGGGCAGCATATAAAACATACATAATACCTGACTTGATGATAGAAACAGGTCTCATCTAACCTGGACGTTGTCATTATTAATGTAAATAGAAGTGATGTAAGTTCTTTGGACAACTAGGCGTTTAGGGATGTCGTTGGGAGAAGGCATAGAATAGAATTGCAGCTACTTTTGGAAATATTCAAATGCAGTCGTCAAGGATAACTGAACTCGGGAAAAAATATGAAAATGTAGAGACCCACTGTACCCCACCCATGGTTTGCTTATTTACCTTGCAGTTAAAAACTACCTGGGAAACTTCCTTGGGACTGCTGCTCTTCCATGTTGAAGAGCTGATGAAAGATGGTGACAAAGCCTGTCTTTTATATCAGGAAGATGCACTTTGTGATAACTTTAACAGCAGTAGTCATCTAAGGGGTGAGAAAAGAAAATGTAATACACGTGCCCAAACATCTTCTGAACCAAAAGTTGCAAACTGAGCTTTAGCAGAGGCTAACCACCTTGATATCTTCTCAAATTAATTTCAAAATGAGTCTGCAATTGTTTTTGTATGTCAAGAATGGTTTGTGTATCTTCTTAAGATAGAAGGCTTGGATTCAAATATTTCTGTCACCTATTCTTATGTCACTTGGAATATATGCATGTGATTTAATTTGATTTTGAGATCTTAGATTGAGATCTTAGAGGAAAGACATATTATTGCTTAGAATAAAATTTGTATTATTTATCAACAATATGTGTTTGGCTTAGTACAAGTTATCTGTGTAAAGAGATATTGCACAAAGCACTTCTTTTGGCCCTCTACATTCTCAGCAGAAGTGTTGCTAATGTACGTGGCTTACACTGATCCATACCCAAACTAAGGTTACAGAATGCTGAAGTCCTGAGGTCGTAAATCCGGGATAATACTTTTTAGTGAAGAAGGTAAATTTGACAACAGTCTGTATGATTTTTCTTTTTTTTTTTTTTTTCCTCCTCAGAAATAGCCAAATTGAATCAAAGATTAGCAAAATCCCAGAGAGAGAATGAATGCCTCCAAGAAAAGGTAAAACATCTGACCTTGGTGGCCGACACGGTTGAGCTGAAAACTCAACAGCTTCAAACTTCACTTCAGCAGGGGAGTGAGCTACAAAGTAGATGCCGTGAACTACAAAAGGAAACTTTAGGTAAGAGAATTTTGACATTTCAAGCAAACTTCCAAGTAAAATGAAATGCAAAAAAAATTTTTTAAAAGCACTGAAATTGTCCCTGTTACTGTGAAAGCACTCAACAGCCCAACTCAGGCCCTAATAAAATGTGGATGCTGTGCAGTCAGGAAGAGAGTATGTCATTGTGAGGAGTCTCTTGCCCTGCTGGGGACACGAGTCAGCCAACTTGGGGGGGAAAAGAGAAGGAAGGGAGGAAACCAATGGAGATGGGGGTAATACAATTATGCTGTTACTTGTCAATCTTATGCAAAACATGAGGGAGAAGGCTCCGAGTTAAAAATTAAAAAGAAATGCTCTCATTTTGAGTGAAAGGCCAGGAAGGATTTTTGGCTATCAGCAACAGAACTGAAAAGTAGGTCAGGCTAAGCCAGTCTCTTTTCTCATAGATTCATTAAACTTGAGACTGTCTAATGATTTGCCCTTGATAGTGTGTCTCAACAATCTAGAGAGTCCTCTTGAAAACTGTTAAGAGCAGTGATAGCACTTGAAATTATAATATCTTGTGAGCTCTGTTGAGACAATAACTCATTACAAAAAGATTATTTATATTAGTATCTCTTGAATCCCTTTTCTCTTTAAAGCAGTATTGCATTCATGGTGCTGGCTCAGAGACATTTTAAGACCTTGAAAACATATAGAGGTTGTGCTGTTCCGGGCACAGTTTTGAGTCATCAAATTGGCACGGCAATTACCGTACTGCCTTATGCACAGTATGTAATGTCAAATTTTAAGCAGTAGGTCTCAGTGCTAGTCACGATGAAGGAATTTCACTGATTCCTCAATACCAGTGACAATATCAAATGGGAGACTGTAAAGTAGAAGACTACAGATACCATCCACTGAGTTATCAACCTGTATTGCTGAGAACGGTCTTTATTTTTGTCACTGTATAACAATACTGTTAGGAAGGCTCCAGCAGCGATGCATTTGAATGGTAAGAATGAGCAGATAACTCTGCATCATTTTCCAGACCGTTTCTGTATAAGAAATGGACTTAATATGTCTGCCTTTTTGTGGTATTTATTCAAAAACCTAACTTTAAATGAATGCAAAATCAGTTAAATTCTTTTCTGACAAGATTCTTCTGTGGACTATTCACAGCATCCACTTGTCTTCCAGTATCTCAAAAACCTGCTCATGACATTTTTCAGTAGGCTCATTGTCTGATTGTAGCTACCTCTTGTTACTTAGTCCTCTGTTCAGGGTAAACTCTGGCAGGCAAGATTTGGGGAGAGGGTTGCCTGGTAAGTGTTTAGCTGTCAGTAGTGAGCCACCGTATCTCATTCTGAAGACCTGAGTAAATGGAAAAAAAAATGGAAAAAAAAATTTATCAATTCTATTTAAATTTCCTTTTTCAAAACAATCTTGAACATGCTGGTGGACAGGGTGAAAATTTGTACCTTTTTGTTTGACTCATATGTAAAATCACTAGGAGAGAGGTTTTATTTCATGTCTCCTGAAAAAAAAAAATTCCAGTAGTACATAAATGGTATCTGCTGTGTTGATTTTTTGCAAGAAAAGTAAACAATCTCAATACTATATGTACATTACATATATATATAATATGTATTACATAGCTGAGACAAGTGCCTGGGTAAAAAATAATAATAAAAAAGCCAAAATTCCAAATAAGCTCAAGATAAAGTCGCTAGAAAAGACACAACTGAAGGAATTAACTGGTTACACTAGTTAACTGAATCTCATTGCTTGTCCCAGTAGCATAAGGTTACCGGTGACTCCTTATGTTTTACTTGAAACTTGTTTGGAAAAGATGCTAAAAATGCATTAATTTCTTTTGAAAAGACAAGTGTGTTTCTCCTCCATTAAGACATTCATGTTTTATCCAAATAATCTGTGTACGTGTATAACTGCCAGGTTTGACAATTACAATGCCACAGTCCAAAATTGGGAAATTGTATCATTTAGAATATTCTGTGTGTTTGGTTCTTAACGTTCACCTTCTGTCTTTACTTATGCTGTAGTAGCCTTAGAGAGTCAGCTGAACTCTACTAGAAATCGCTCAAGCGGCTAGTATTGCTCAAAAGAAGATAGCCAAGGTGACTGGCTCAAAAACAGCATGAGCGCCGCAGATCCTGCGATAAAACCTATAGCAATGATTTATTGCGGTCGATTAAGCTTTCCTTTTGCTGCTAGTAGAGCAGCACTTATGGAAAGAAAGTTTGTTTGGTCTTCAGTGTGGTCTTGTGCCATGCAAAGAAACCGTTCATTCGTACAGCACTCTGGATATTCTACTACAAGTGCTGATAGTTGCGGTGATGTACAGGTCATTTTGATTGTGACAGATACTCAGTTCAGAATCCGTGCACCAACGTTTTGGTACGTGCTTCTTACGTGCTCATGTAGTGTGATGTTTCGGTCAAACTGTTGTATTTCTTAAGAAGCAGTGGACGTAAAATTCTCTTTTTGCCCTAATACTTGGCTTTCTTCTGTGTTCAATATAACCAGCAAACTTATTTCCACTTTCTTTTTAGGAATATCTTGTCTTCTATCTTTGTATAAATAGACACGAGTAGTGATATGTCATAAGCAGATCATTTATTATTTACCTTTCTCTAGAAATCTGAGCTTCTGCAATTTTGAAAATGGGCCTACCACCTGCCTGCCTTGAGGAAAACATAATTAAATTTGACGTACATTTTTTTTTTAGGTGGAAAAACTAGTCAAAACAAAATAATCTCAGTGTAAAAATAGCTCCTTCTCAAGTATACTTTGACATTTCGTTTGTGTTGAAAACTGTTTTAATTTTTTTTTTTTTTTTAATACGAAATAAAAAAGTTCATGGGTGACACAGGTTAAATTGCCAGTGCTGGTGCGCAGACTGTTGTCGTTCCTTAGGAACAGTCCTTTGTACAATTTCCAGAACTATAGGTTTTACTTTTTATAAGGTGCCATGTTCAGTATAACTGAGACAATTTTTCACGTTACTGAGTTAAATTTTTGCAGTGAGGTGGCTGTATGTGGGCGTGTGAAGCTGTCTGTGAATGCAGCAGTAGTTCACAGGCAGTCCTGGGAGCTGGAATGTTGGCGCTTGCTGCTGTTGTAGAAAGTCTAAAGTCCATTTAATTCCGTACCCTGTCCTCACTGCTGAAAAACACGGCATGGTTCAAAGGAAGGAGCAGGAACTCTAGAAGAGCAATTATAGGATAATCTGTCTTCCTTATGTGCCTTGTCTTGATCTAAGAGGGCCCTGAGCCTAATAAGACAATCTTTTAAGCTTTGAAATATGTGGTTTAGTATCCTTACATAAGATATTTGTATTGTTACATTTATGCTGATATGAAAACTACTCTTAGACTTCCCTTTTGGGTTTTGTAAAGCTGTTTACTTCAGAGGTTCCTGTAAACAATGAGTTCATAGTTTGTTCACGTGCGTTGTAAAAATACACTTCTTTTTTTCAGTCTTCCCCACCTTTAACTCCATGGAGAATTCCTTTGTTCTCATGTTAGAAGACCAGAGAAAGATGCTCGCAGTCTGTAATTTTTTGGTTTTTAAGATTATTTGGTGTGTTATATAATTTTTGTGATGCTTGCATGGCATTCTGGCTCATCTCAAAATCTGAATTTGCTTCCCTAAGTTGGCATGTTGCATCAGACCATCTCATCAAGCAGTTAGTTATATTTAGGTTCTAATTTCTCACCTTTAATTGCTGTGCATAACTCAGGGCAGTAACTGTAGCATATAGATGAGTACCATGTCACGAGCAGGTTCAGGCTAGTGCACATAGAGCATCTCTACTTTTTGTGCTGAAAAAATCTGAACTTACAAAGAAGTGCCTGATCTAGGGCCCCTATTCCAGTCTGTGGATCATCGTGGGTTTTCTAAGTATTACCGTATAAGAAAACCAAGATTGCACAACGTTTCCTATGAGATGTTCACTGTTTTCAGTGACTTAGAATATTACCAAACTTAACTAATCAGTGATTTTGGACCATTTTTACTGGAATTAATATTCATAGCTTTTACAAGGGTAGGATGGCTGGAAAAGTCATTGGATTTTACGTTTCAATCTTATGCTGCCAAAATTTTGTGGAAACCCTATGAGCCTTCTGTTGTCTGAAAAAGGACTTTGAGACTGGAGGTTTGACGGTGTTCTTGACATCGACAACCAAGTTAAACTGACCGATAAGCCTATGAAAACATTAAATAGCTATGTGTTGGTGTGGTGGCTGAGCTCTCTGGGATTTTCAGTTTAACGAGTCCCCAGAATACACGGCTGGGCAGTGCTTTCCCAAGCCCCGCTTGTTTTGGGGCGCTGGGCCACAGGACCGAAGGGAAGGAGGTCGGCTCTGCTGCGCGCCCGGTGCCCTGGGTCTGGGGCAGGGAACAACGCGGACGGGGCCGAGACCAGCGCAGGACCAGGTAGGTTAGGGCGTTGTGACAGGGCTCTCGGGGAACTTGGCTCTGTAAATGAGCTGGGGAGCACACGCCGAGCGGTGAAATGCCAGTCCCGAATAGCTGGAGTTCTTTCGTCCTGTGTGGGCACAGACGCAGGAATCCTGTGAGGGGGGAAGAAAACCAGTATGCGATTATATCCTGAACAAATATTCTGTAATGCGTAGTTACTAAAGCATGAAGAAACAGCTGATACTTGTACACGTTTGACTGCAGCACTTAACCACAGTCACTGGTGCAGTTTCTGCGTGTTGCGGCGTATGTGTCTCGCCCTGCGTCCTAGCCTGCACGCCGTTGTTCTGCTTGCGAAGCATGATTACAGCCGTTCCCTTTTTCGTTTGAGGCCCAAGGTCTACTGTCCCATTCTCGTCTTGAATCATCCCCAGGGTGTTCAGGAATAGTGTTTGTAGAAGGAAACCGGAGCGATGTGCTAAAAGAAATAGCTTGGTTTGGGTAAGACAGTGGTGCTGTGCGGTGGTGGGGAAGGGGTGCGTGTCGAGAAAGAGCTAACGAGGGCAGCTGGAGTCAGTCTCCTTCATCTCCCC